GCTCTTATAATGACCGTACGTTGTATTCGGGGGAAGAAGGTAGTACCCGGATTCTTCAACAATGACAGGTGGCCATCGATTATCGTTGGCAGATGTAAACGGAATCCTAAATTAAAGCCCCGAGTCGACCTACTGGACCGTTGGGCAAGCTCCCACTTGGAATAGTTGAGCATTAAGATTTAAAATTAATCAACCATTAAACCACCAGTCATGTGATCGCAAATTCGCGTGCGGACCACCACCGGAGGTTTAATGGTTGATGAGTTTTAAATTTTAATGCTCGACTACGAAACCACGATCATGTCGTTGTGATGTGAACATCACAAGGAGTTCGCATTCTCCCAACTTGATGGGAATAGTTAAAAAATCGACCATTAAACTAGGCGACCAGGCGGGCCGCCTGGATCACCTTGTTTTCCCAGGCGGCCCGACCGTGCAAGGACCAGGGAAGGTCCTAGGCAAAAAAAAAAAAAAAACCCGAAAAAAACTATGTTATGCAGAAAAATAAATTGAACAACTTTGCTTCAGGGTCACATCGAAATTCTCAACCAAATTCAAAATAAAAATAAAAAATAAAAATATTTTTAGTTTTTTGGCACTGCCGGGCAAGTGGTCCCGGGCCACTCTGGTAGCCTAGCCATTAAACCACGATTATGTTTCCAAGCCTTTTTCTTTTTGTTCAAAAATGCAGCGGCATTGCAGCCACAACTTTCTTTCTTTTTTCCACTACACCGCTCTTGTCCGTGCCTCTGGTTCTTGGGAATTATGGAATGGCGGTGCTATGGTGCAAACTATTACTGCCATCTGTGATCTCGTGCATAATTACCCTAACCTGCAACTRCTCCARKTCATTGACCCTATGGGTACCTCGTGTACTTCCATGCCCGCCTCTACGCCTATCTCTGTGCCTGCCTCCGTACCTGTCTCTGTGCCTGTTTCTATGTCTGTCTCCTTTCAGATTACTGACCCTATAGCTACCTCGTGTACTTTCGTCCCCACCTCTGCACCTGTCTCTGTGCCTGCCTCTGCACATGTCTCCATGCCCGTTTCTGTGTCTGTCTCCATGCCCGTTTCTGTGTCTGTCTCCGTGCCTACCTCCATGTTTGTCACCGTGCCTGCTTTAGTCTTCATTCCCCCGCATGCTGCACTAACACCTTGTGACTTCCTTCTTTGTGAGATCACTGATACAGTTACACTTGGTTGTGGAAAGCATCGACTTTGTCGACATCACTACAACCATATAATTTTTCGGGCCCGCTGTAGGCAGGGATGCCACCTGTATCTGGATTGTGAACATCCTCTGCATCCAGATGCAGTATGTCCCATCTGTGTCTACGACCGCTATAGCGAATGTGCACTTAACTGTGATGGTGAACGCCCCACAATGGTCATGGCCTGCAACCGGCATGCCCTCTGCCGTGCATGCTTCAGAGGTATGGTTGATGCTAGCCGTCCTGGTTCCTGCTGTGACGAAGTTGCTTACCTGAATGGTTTYCGTCCTATAGATCAGCGGGAGGGCTGCTACCATCGCCCGCATCCTTATGATAGTTGTCCTATYTGTCGTGAGGGTCTTACTTAGACGTACCTTGCACCCTGACAAAAATGTGCAGGTGCGCTAAAAAGAGAGTACAAGAATGTGCAAAGGTGGGAAACCCTTCCACTAAAACTGCAAAACTGTGAAGACTGCAGTAAAAGAAGAACATAAGTTTGTGTCATTTTACTTTGTTTATACCCTGCACCCTAACACCCTCAAAGAAAAAGTCCGAAGGGTGAAAATGAGAATAAAAAATGAAGAAGGAAGTGCAGGTGCGCTGAAAAATGAACGTGGTAGACTCTTCACCAAAACTGCAAAACTGTGAAAGAAAGAAGAATGCAGTAAAAGAAAGAAGATGTTTGTGTCACCCTTATTTTATTTTTATTTTTTCTCCCTCKGCCTATCGATTTTCCTTTTCTGCTCCTCTCTCCCTTATGTTTGACACCTCTTCCTTCACTCTGCCTCTTTCCCATAGCGTGCAAGTGGGCTGTTATGGCATACGGGGATGGGGGCAGCTCRCGCTCAACTTCATCAACGTGGCGAGCCTTGTACGTTAGAGGCACAGTGGAGGAGGCGTTAAGAAGACTGAGAAACTGAATGATTTCAATGTGTCTTTGTTTTTTATTTTTATCCTTTGATTCAGTGTAAATATTTTTTGTAAAACACTGAAAGAAATAATAATACTGTAAAACAAAGTGTCATTCTGGTTTGTCTGTCTCTTTGCCTGTCTGTCCTTTCATTTTTCTTTTCTTTGCTCATCTTATTTCTTCTTCTATTTCACGTGCTCATGCCCTTAGTCAATAGTTCTGTGACAATATATAAGCCCAGGTTGTTGTAGAGGTGGGGAACTCAGAAAAGCGCCGAGGCTTGGATGTACTGGTGGTTTTTTAAGCACTAGTACATGCCTGCAATGACTTGCTGATTACTGCTGCCGAGATTGACAGCGAGGCTGTACACTAACCGGTAGGTTAGATTCGTAATTTTGTTTGGCTGAAGGGCTAACCGAGAGACCTGCCTGTAAGGAAATTCATGAGGGACAGATTTGCAAATCCGGGAAAGTACAGGCCCGGTACGAACCGAATTCCTACAGCTACCCTAACTGCCTATAGCAGGCCCGGGCTACCCCTAGGACAGACAGGCCCTAAGCGGCCTATGTTGTTAGACGGTCCTATCGCCTATAGCCGGGTCCGGTAGAGGCCGAGACAGCCACGGTACCGGTCGGTCAGTCAGTCCGGTAGAGGTCTAGAGAGTCTATAGATAGGTTAGGCCCATCGGTTCAGGACTTCTGGCAGTTCATTTCTCGCGAAGCAACGTTGGAGAAGCCAAGCGAGTTGGTGGCGGTACCTGTCTACAGGCGGCATCATGAGACAAGCCGTAACAGCAGCCATAGCCGGCCCTCTCTGAGTTTGCCATAGCTGGGGCATTCTCAGCGCATCTACCCCTGGGGGTATCTGCGTATGGCCGGGCTGTATCGAGGCTCTACAGTGGTGGTTCGTGGGTGGTGGCAGCCGCCTGTTCCTTCGTCAGAGTTGTCCATCGGCACTGAAGACTTCATCGCAGGACCTGTTCTTCATCAGGGTGGTTGGCGTTGGCCTCTGGGAGGCTGTTATGATGCAGCGCTACTAACTGGGTGTAGGATAGAGAGTGGGGTGTGAGTTCTGAGTGTGGCGAGATACTGGAACAAACTCTGTTACGATAATTGTG